TGCGCACTAAGATCGTCCGTGCATTCAAGCCTGGGTACTACACCCTATTACATGGTTTTTGGGCAGCATATGGTCAACTCCGGGTCCACATACTCTTTGCTGAGGAAGCTCAACCTTTTGGATGATCGATCCTTAAAGTTAAGTCGTCAAGACTCGTTTGACGTTGTGCGGGAGAAAGCATGTAAGCGAATGCTGGAGAAACACTCCGAGAACGAAAAGAAATACAATCTTAGATCTCGAGTTGTGTCTTATGCAGTGGGACAAGAAGTGTTTAGAAGAAATTTTAAACAAAGCAGTTTCCAGACCGGATATAATGCTAAATTTGGACCTTCTTTCGTGAAAGCAAGAGTGCGAAAGAAATTAGGAAGCGCCTACTACGAGTTAGAAGACTTGCAAGGAAAACCCGTAGGCACATATCACGCGAAAGATATTCGCCAATGATCTGGCTTCAGTCGGCATCAGTCTAGGGTACCAGTGGTATGTATACCCTAGCCAGATGTTACCGGGGGGCTTTTGTAGTGGCGACTGAAGACCCTGCCACGGAAATCAGCCTAGAAGGATGCTACGCTTTATGTGAAGCCTAAGCCTAGCTTCGCCAGTGTTGCCGATCACGTAAAGGTGGTCAAGCGACTACGTAACAAAGCTTTGAGCAAGCTTGCACGTGCCGTAATGTAGAGCTGCATTTAACTAAAACGCGTTTTGGCATATTTAACAGAGAATTTACATTTGCTCTGAAGACGAAGAAGAGCGCATTTGCCAATTAGGAAATTTTTTTCAAGCCGACTTTCCGTTTCCGTGGGAGGTCTTTTTAAATCAAGGTCTAGAAGAGCATAGACGTGTCGGGTGCTCGTAATTATCAATAAATCAGACAGTGGCAGTGAATCGCGTAAACTAAGAGTTGAAGTGGCCGCTGAAAGCTTCGCAGAAAAAGTGAGTAGAGAAGTGCCAAATTTGTGGGGCACAGTGAGTAACCTTTTTGTTGCCCAGGTTAGGAAAACTAGAAAATTGGAGGCAGCAAAGCAGCGTCGACGCACGGCCAGGGCCAAAGGTCGACAAGACCTTTCGCCAAGGGAAAATCCCTTAATTTTGTTACCAGGGCTCAAGCCAGCGGGTAATTATGAAAATAGAGTGTTTGTTAAAAGCAGTGCTTACTGTTTGAATGGAAAAATTTACAGATTGGGCCCTGCAGTAAAGAGTCAAGTCCCTAGGCAAGGGGTACCCCTAACCTGAGGGGATGAAGTAGAGAAGCTACAACCAGCGCAGGAGGAGCCGATCCCCAGGAAAAATCAGGCTAACAGCGCGGATGCGCAACTCATCTCTTGGCCAGCTTCGTGTCGGGAAAAGCGATTACTTCTTTTTTTGTGAAAATTTTGCTAACCTCGCGGGTTAACCTTCACCTGACCCCTGTGTTCTAACCTCCTCCTATTGCAAGTGAAGAATAATTTTAAATAGGGTTTTACCCTTAAAGCCCATTTTGGTAACTTTTTCTTCTGAATTTTGTGCGAACAATTTGCTCTAACAGAGACAATGTGATTAATGGCCCAAAACATTTGTTAATATTGGCCTTTGAATTTAAAAACTTATGCTCGAATTATGCTCTCGATCTGCTTGCGTGTAGCCGTGAATTTAATGAAGCCGAATAACGAAAATTTATGCTGAATTTCCAATATTTTAATTTAATTTATTATTAATTTAGTTTTTTTAATTTAAATTTTACACCTTTATTTTTTTACTTCAAATTAAGTTCCATTGTTGCATAGCAAAAAGAATAATAATATGAGAAAAATAGGGCCATTCGGACTTTAACCCCTTTTTTCCAGAGAAAAGCTTCGAGGGAGATCGATCTTCGCCGATGGAAAATTGAGTGAGTCTAAAAAAAAAAAAAAAAAAAACCATTCGAATGAAAACATGCAATTGAAAAAAAATGAAAATACTTGAAAACTTAAACAATTTAAAATGATTTAATTTAAAATATACAAAAATAAAATCTCCATAAGCTAATGCAACAATTGAAATTGAAATTGAAATGAACTAAAGACATGATGTAATTTATTTTAATAGTTAATAGAAAAGAGAAAACATGAAGTAAACGAACATTTAATAATACAATTTAAATTTGATTTAAACTTTTAAAAAAAATTATTTCTTTTGAATTTTGTGCACAATTTTTAAACACATATATGTACATCTATGCACCTCCTCAAGTTTATACATTTTAATTTTAGCTTTTATTTATCTTTGTTAGCTTTAAGTATTGAATTAATTTTATTAAACCTGTTTTAATTTTAAAAATCATGTTAGTTTAAAACCCGGTATATACCGACTCGTAGGATGACTCCACGGTCGTAGGGTCCTGAAGGGATCACCAGAGCCATGCTCTTGCGGCAGGTGATCGTAGGTTGGGTGGGCACAAAGCGAGCACAACAACATCTGTGTCTCTGCATTGTATAGATTTTCTCTCTGTCTTCTCTTCTCTCTACTTCCGCTTTTCTTCTGTCTTCTTTATGTTGTGTGAATTTTGTTTATCATTTCTTCCGGTTTTGTTCTAGCTTTTATTTTGTCGCAGCACGCTCAATTCTAGTCTTTGTAATAATAATGTGTAGTCGTTGTCCGAGATCTGGGTGAGCAAGACCTCCACCCCCAAAGCCGACGAGCTAGAGCCGGAAAATAAAGCGTGCCCCAGCTGCCCAGATCCTCACCAACCCCGACGAACTTTATGGTTGCACGCTACAGTATCTCGTGTGCTTTTGCATGGAAATGCATAGATACATTGCCCGATTGGGTACGTGCAACTAGTTTCGGTCTTTGGTGGCATCTTGTTTGCCATTTGTCATCGCATTTTGCCAAATTTACCGTGTAATTATCGGTGAAGGAGAACGCAGTCCTCTATGTTCATATCGTTGATACTATTTTGCTCTGCTTTTCTGGGAAATGCATCATGAAATTATTTAAACAGCTTTATGAAATAAGTTAAAATTGATGTTACACTATATATATTTATTGTGCATATTTATTGTGCATCTAGGATTCATTGGAAATTATAAAGGATCTTCATATATCCTAAGCATTCCCCCTTAAATTTCATAAACTTGCATAGATCTTTTACCAATCCAAGTGATTAAGGATTTTTTTGTTAGTTTTTCTGTCTGAATTATAAATTAAATCCAAGTTCAACTCTCTTTTAAGTCTAATTAAAATTTTTAACACAGTGGCTTCAACATTTTAAATCAAATCGAATTATTTTGTAATCAAAACTTGTCAACTTTATTGTCATAGAATATAATATTTTTTCTCTGTCTGTCCCAGGGGCACACCTGTACCCCACCTGATATGCAAATTTCCATAGCTTTTTCTGTTTGCCTATGTTTTAGGGGGTTTCGAGAGGCATATTTGTTTAGCCACAGTCCGAGGACAGTTGGCTATCGTTTCGTTTTGTGGGATTTCCATTTCATTTTTTGGAACCGGCACGTAAGCTGGAATATTTGCTGTATGTGCTGGCCTAAACTGGCAAATCTAAAATGAACTAATAAAGCCATTGAAATGGAAAACAGTTTTACCATAAAAAAAGAAAAGCATATGGAAAATGGAATTTATATAAATCTGAAAAGCCATTGAACTGCATTAACTTTTTTTATGTATCTTCCCTGAAGACTGATTTCATGGCTGGGTAATCTTTTCACATCTATATTGTTTTGTAGATTTTTGCTTGTTGCTCTCACCACCCGCTAAATTGTTTTTGTAGGCCAGTTTCAATGATTTTGAAAATATATAGATATATCACACACAATAAGTGTCATTTGGCAGGGATTAAATGCTATTTGCTAATGTAATCAAATTGGACAATTTCGACAGTTGGACTAATCCGTTTACATAATCCGGATGCAATCAAGCCACCACATGGCATGTTCCCCCCACTGATTACCGCCCTTGTCATTTTAATTTAATTATGCCTGAAAAAAATGGTATTCAGAAAATAGAAAATCAAAAAAGCAAAACCGAAAACTAAATGAATTGGATAAATTATTTAATAAATAACAATTTGATTGACTTTCACGAACAAAAAGTTAACAACAGCAATCGGTGGCAGTCGTCATCAACATATAACAACATGCTTATTTCCAATAATTCCAGAGGCGTTGGGTATAGGTTTTTTTGTCCTCCACCATGGGCTTGGGCCAGAAATAGTAATAAATTTCTTGGCCCAGACTTGTGAGTTTGTTCATCTTTGCATCCTCGACAACAGCATCTTCTTTGGCTGGCAACTTAATTATTATTAAGAAGCCTAGAACTACCAACAGGAGAGGGAAGCCATATGACTTGTACGGCTTAAAAATCCCATCTTCTCGAGCACAAATCGAAACATTTAAAATTTTTTTTGAATACTTTCTTTTCCAATAAATAAGTTTTTGACTATTTTGTAGACAGGGGCTGACTGACTTTACTACATAGAAAGTTCACTGAACTCTGAGATTTGAGATCTGCTCGACAGCTCGACAGCTTCTCCAGTGGTTGCTCCCATTTCCTCAATTTCGAATTGGAAAGCACTACACACAGCCTCCTTGAACATAACAATGCCGGGACGAAAGAAAGAAAAACTATCGGACATGAAGGAAAATACCACATAAATTTATACGCAGCTGAGCCATTGGGAAAAACAATGAGATGGAAAGGAGGGCCAGGCCGTCGGCTAGGTTTCTTTGCCCATTCATATTCATCCGGATTCAGATCCGGATCCCCCGGCTGAAGTGATTTCCGTTGTTTTTTTTTCTTATATTTCTTATATCGTACTCGGAGCGAAGCGGAGCGGAGCGTTGGTGCATTCAATGGAGTGCACTCTCCGCAAAGGAATACTTGAACTGCAACCCAAGAAAAGACGCACAATACAAATGTCGAGGGGCTTTTGTTTGAACATCGAGTGGGACTCCGTCCTGGCAAATACCATATTTATATATCCCTCTAGCCCAGGACAAAGCCCTGTCCCAGTAAGAAAACAAATTGCTGGTGCTGTACGGTTTGATTTTAGCTTGAAATCTGGTTTTATTTAAATCTCATTATGCATTCTAAGAGGTCTCTTCCAATGCTAGAATGTGTTTCAGGAAGAAGAAATCATTGTTATTCTAGAATCAATAAAAGAAGGAACTCCTCAAAGCTGGAATGTGTGCATCGGATGGAAGCTGCAGGTAGAAGATATTATTATTATTCAAGGATCACTTGAGGATATTTTCAAGAGCTAGCTTACATGTCCTCGCGGGCCTTCAATAGAGTTTCCACCAAACGGCTCAACGGAGAGTCGCCAATGCAGATCTTGTACACAGCGGTAAAGAGCGGAAATCTATCAACAAAATGAAATAGGGATCAACAGGAAGAGTTTATGAATTTCACTCAGATCTTTACTTATCCTCCAAACCCTTTTTCTTAAGCATATGATGGACTAGTTCGGCTGTCACAGGACCCAGAGGCTCATGTCCTGGTATAAGGATATGCTCCAGTTCACTCAACGGCTTGCCGGTCTTTACAAATGCCTCGGCCAGCTTTCGATTACGATTAGCTAGATAACAGAGTATAAATATATTAAGATATATATTGTGCAATTAGTTTTCATTACCATAACAACTAGTGACCAAATCGGATATGCCGCAGGACTCAAAAAATGTGCCCATACGGCAGCCAGGATAAAAGACATCAACAAATTGCAGCATTTCCAGAAATCCCCTCCTAATAATCCCAGCCTTTGTATTCTCATTAAGCTCCATGCCATCCGAACAGCCAGCGGCAAAAGCAATTATGTTCTGCAAAAATAAAATAAATTATATATGATTTATATATAAATTTTTTGAATGCTGTTCTTACCCTCAAAGAGGAGCATATTTCCACACAATCGGCATCCTCGGTGACCACCACACGGAATGTGGGTGACCTGAAAATATCATGCAACACACGATAATATTTCTGATCGCGGCAACCCACAGTTCCCTCGGCAAAGTGATCGTTGGCTAACTCATAGGCCAGGTTACAGCCCACCAGCACTGAGCAGGGAATCTGTAGGAGAGAAATTAATAAAATATATGAGAAATTATGGGAAAATACAAGACTTGGAAACCCATCAGCAGAAAAACTTGTCAATCATAAGTATACTTTAAGGAGTGTTAAAACTATCACTTGAAATACCTTCAACTGTTTCATAATAATTTGAGATATCAATACAAACTGTCCATCATCTCCACGCTCGAAACCCTTGATCAGGGAAACGGCATGAGCCGTGGGTTTAACTTTGCCCAGCAAGGTTTTGCAACAGCTACTGACAAAAGTCGGCGGAATAGCAAATATTATAATATCTGCATCCCGAGCCGTGGCCACAATATCATTGACAGCAACCTGTTATTATACATAAAATTTAATATATAAATATCATTAAATTTCAAGTAAACCCACAATATTTGGCGGCAATTCAAAGTTCGGCATATATTTGAGGTTTATATGCGTTGTATTTATGATTTCGGTGAGCTTGCGACCATCCACTATTTCCTCGTAAACATACATCAGGACCCTTTCATCAATGGTTTGTGAATTTATCACATTTCTTCCCACATTGCGGGCAATAGTTGTGGCCCAACTTCCCGATCCTATGAGGCAAACCATTATCTTATCCATCTTGTTGGGAGGAAAGTCAAGAAATGGTGGTTCTGTAAATTTCTTTAAATATATTTAGTAATTGTGTAATTGTAGTGACACTTAAAACTAGGTTGTGTATGTTATATTTCTGATTTTAAAGTGATATTTAAATGGTCCTAAAAAAGGTACATCGTTCAAGACGCATTCGTAAGAGAATATCTCCCTTACCGAATGCATTCATAAGTCTATCCCTGTAAAACAGGCTGTTGTTTTCAAGTTTTAAAAATCCCATCAAGACAATTTTCTGATTAAGAAGAAGTGTAATGTTGATTCTTCGTATTTACTCCACTGTTAACCCAAAAAATAAAATATCCATAAATATATTAAAGCCTTCCACAGCGCAAATACACAATCAGATATTAATATATATACGCATCCATATTTACATGCACATAAGTTCCGTGTACACACATATATTGATTGAGTGCTGGGCAAACAATTCATCAGTGTATCGGGGTGGGATAAAAATTACGTATACGTCACGTTCGCCAAACTGGCAGGGCAAATAATTAACTGTGGCAACAGTTTTTTTATTCCTCTCATATCTTGGCTGAGACTGGGCTACTCTGTCCGTGGAATCCATTCATTCATGTTTTTTTTTGTTTTACATATAAATTAAGCTGACGCGTTGGAAAATGTTTCATAATTCTCGTATTTATTTTTTAATTACGGCAGCTGGAAAGCTGGAAGGAAAAGCGGCGGCTGCGTTGGTTAATTTAAATAAAATATATCAAATTGCCAGAGTTAAAAGGCAAAGGGGCGAAAGCCAAAGTGAAAGTTCCAGCAAAAAATGCCGTCGAAATCAATGTGCAAGAAAGTAAACTCCGCCCGTCGTCCTGTCCGTACAATCCAATCCAATCCCGAGCCAGGACTCCCACTGCAGAGCTGCGCCGCCATCCACTCGACTATGAAATCAAAATGGATGATGGGCGAAATGAAAATGGAATTTTTAATGAGTTGCTGCTGCTGCTGCTGGCGAGGAGGCAAAGGCCAAACGAGGGCTCTTTGGCCGAGAACAATGGCGATGAGACAAAACGTTGGCAATGAGAGGGGCAGAATGGGGCAAGGCAAGGGGTTTTTTCTGGGTGGGGTGAGAGGGAAAACCCAAGGCCGCAGCTGCAGTCAAGTGGGAAGTCCGTCTGTCCGGAGCCACAAAATCGCTGGTCAACACTTTAAAGGACATTGGAATGTCATGGGGGAAATGCTCTTGGATGTAAAGTATCACTTCGAGTTGATATCAACTTGAATGTTTTGTAACATTTAATTTCATTTAAATCTCATAGTTTGCATATTACAAAATGTAACAATAAAGTTATTATTTGAGGTTTAATAATTCTATAAAACCACCATTAAATTTCTGCCTCAAAATCAATTATATTATTTACGCTTTAAAGAGCCCATTAAAAGCATAGTTCTCACACTCGACTGGCTTTTGCTTAAACAAATTAAGAAGCTTAAGTCACAAATATGTACTATGTGCATTAGCAATTCACAGACAAGTAAAAATTTGAGAGGAAATAAATCTAGCTAAAGTCTCCCAGGTAGCCCCATGAAACACTTGCAAAGTATTCTCAACATAATTCGTTTTTTATTCCGTTTTGGGACTGTATAAATTATTCGCACATGTACTTTGGGCTCTGCTCTTCCTACATTAATTTCCAGTTTTTATTATTTTATTCCCTCAGTTTTCTTTTTGTTTCCCAACCATAAAGTAAACTTCACTTGGGCAGCTTGGACTGGGTAAACTCGTCTCTGGGATATACGCACATAAAGTTTTACCACGATTTTTATGCTTTTCACCTTGCACACACACGCACACACATACACATCTGTTTGTGGAAAAGCGGAAAAGCGGGACGAGAGACAGTTACTCATATGATTTTGTGACTACAAAGTTGAATCGTAAATAAAATTATTCCATGTTTTTCGCTGCATGCAACGTGATTTCAAGTGTGGGAGTCGGGAATTGTAACTAAACTTTCACTTTCACTTTCACTTTGCTGCAAACTTTTGCGGAAGAAGAACTTGGCAATCTTCAGATAAACTAATTAGCAAGATGTGTGTGCCAAACACACATACACTTTTGTGGTGTAAATTGTATACATTTCTCACAAAATCCAGGGATATGGAAAAGGAGAATTGTTTGGGAATTGAGTAAAAGCTTGACTTAGGGAAATATTTGTATTTGCAGATTTGTTTTTAAGTCTTTGTTAGGTATTATTTTGAAGTTTATTGTCAAGAGAGCTTTGTAAACAGAACCCTTCACTAAGAGTTTTTAATAACTGCTTACTTGCAGATCCTTTTAAAATGGAAATCGAAGGAAAAGTCAAAGCGATTTATGTTCTCTTGACGCCTTTCGGTTTTTTTCCTTTAATCTCTCTGATCTCTTTATTTATCTATTTTCAGTATAATATAATTATACTTCTCCCTTGATTTCTCATAAAAAGAAACTTCAATTGTAAAATTTATCTCATTTTCCTGGCTTCCATAATTAAGTGAAAAGTTACAAAATTTTTATATAATTTTTAAGAACACTTCGTAGCATCGGTCGGCACTTAAGTTGGCTTTTTTGTTTGGCCATTTACGCTGTCATTAGATAGCGCTCTCTGCTAGACGCGTTGTCGCTTTAAAAGGCATTAAATTACGCGCAAAGAAAAGTTTGTGGCCCCAAAAAGTTGAGCTGGATTCGAGTGGAAATCAGATACAGATATAGATACACGCTGCCCTTCGCCCAAAAGATACAAAGCGAAAGCGCCGCAGTCTTAGGATTGCGTGCGAAATGCAAGCAAAGTTGGCTTGAATAGAAAATACGGGGAAAGGAAAACTATGCAAACTGCCCGGGTCTAGAATGAAATCAAGATAAACTACTCACAATATTTACTTTTAATTGGAGAAGTTCAAAGAATAAACAAATATCAAGGGATTGAGGGAAAGTTGGAACAGAAGGAAAAGTGGCAAGATGCGGCATTCAAGTTTTCCCTTGTTTTTTTTTTGTGTTTCTTTACGCTTTTACCACCTTTTTTTGGTACACATCTGATGGCTTAAATGGAACACATGGTCTGTGACACTTAAATAAGACTAATTTAGTTTGAAAATTAAATGTTTGTGATTTCACTAAACTCTTTATGATTAAAGTAAGTATTGTATATATTATAGGAAGCATAAATCGTATATATAACCAATTTTAGATAACAATTGTAAAGAAATTCCTTGGTAATTCTAGTTCTAGTAGTACAGTGTAGACCATAGCCTGTGAGCTGGGGCCCTAATCCCGCCGATTCGAGTTCATTAAGCTCCTTAAATGCGGCCCAAAGTCGAATTAATATTCCAAACAACATTTGCCGCATTCTCTATCCCCATCTCTCTTCTTTGTGTGTTGCCATTTCATTTGCTCTCATTTGACAGACCCCGGCGGAAAGTTGAGCCGAAAAGTTCAAAGCGGGCACAAGTCAGGCAGGTCAGGTCAGGGGCAAAGAGAGGTATCCGTCTGCAGTTGGCTTTTAATGTTCTCTTTGCGTTTCGCTTTTCTTTTCATTTAATTTTTTCTATATATATTTTTTTTTCTGTTTTTGCCTAAATGGTAATTAAAATATGCCCAGATGGTGTCTGGCAGATGACCATCAGGAGGAGGAGGAGGAGGTGGCATCAGGGAGAGTCAGAGTATCCTTCGAAGGTCAATTGCAATCAGTGAGTCCTTTCGCCATCTCTCTCCTGGGGCACTAAGCAAACACGGTCAAAGTGCAAAAAGGTCATCAGCAATTGCTACTTTTTCATTTCTGCTTTTGATTTGCTGAAACTGCGACGACACTCTGCACATTTTAATTGGATACGGTTGAAGGCCTTTAAAGGATTTCTAGCGGGATCCTTTGACATTTTTATTTGACTCTTTGATGTATTAGACAGGGTGATAAAATATATAATATATAACATTTAAAATATCTCAAAACTATGCAAATTATTCTCTGTACGAGCTTTCTTTAATTCGTAATTGTTGTCTTCTTTATCCTTGATAGTTCTTCAACCGCAACAAAACTTACTTTCCCCCATATCCCAATGTTTTCCACATTTTCCGCCAGCCATTTAGCGAACTTTGCCGCCATCTTTCATTCATAATTCGCTAGTCCCCTCTTTTTTCTTTTTGCCTTATTTTGTAGCTGCACACACACATGGAGGGGGAAAAGAACAGGAAAAAAGGGAAAAGCATCAGACGCAGCTGGGCGACAGGGAAAACTGTGTCAACGCAGCCATTTGGCAGCCAAAAACTCCCCTCAACCGCCGCTGCTTTTCCACTTTGCTGTTTTCCCTGTGTCGTGTCTCTCCAGTTTTCCGCCACGTTGATGGCGACATAAATAGCACCGCTTGGTTGATGGCTTAGTCCCGCTTACCCCTCGGAATTTTCCTCCATTTTTCCCCGCCGACGCTATTTTTGCCATTTCGCCCAGGTAACAGCCGCCGCCAGTTGCTCATAAATGTAAACTTTTTCGGCTAGTTACATGTAATTATGCCATTTTACTGGCGGAAAAGATGAGAGGACTTTTCCGCTCCGCAGGCGGGATGAAAATCATCCTTCTCGGGGGACTGGTGCTGGGATGCCTCCCGATGCCTTTACACTTGATTGCCAATTTAATCGGCTCGCAATTTTCCGCCTTGGCGGCATGATTAGGGGGGCGTGGCCGTGTCTAATTTGTGTATCAGTGCAAAAAAAGGGAGATCAGATCGGATTTCACGACTTTTGATGAAAAATATGAGACGGTATACGATACCACCCTTGTCGATGGTTTTATATTTATTTATTTTTCACCCGGACACATGCACACACACTTACACACACACATAATTCAAATACGTGACATGCATGTGTACACTGACTGCAGTTAATCTTCGCCTAAGCCCTCTGCGCCTGTCAATTTTCCATGTGGCCAGAGGATGAGTCGGTTTTTCTGCGTCCTTCAAGAGGAAAAATGTGTATTTCGTAAAATTCTCTGGGTAAAATTGAAAACAAATTTTAAGTCCACCTCTGTGTTTTAACCTTTGCAGTTGGGTTTTAAATAAAGAAAATACATACCTTTGAAAAAATT